CTTTAAAAGAGAGGAAATTAGGGTTTGTTAAATTTGGGTTTTGATGGGCTGCTCAATATTGGGCTGGGCTTATGAGTTTGTTTCAATAAATTTCATCCTCAGCTTTTTAATTTTTTCAATTGAGTCCTTTTCTTGTTTTTTTCTTCAACTTCTCCCCCAAATTTTTCATAAAATTTTTTTATAACGATAAATCCGAAATGGTACGCGAAAAATTTCGGTATCCGGTACGTACCGTTCCAGTAACAAAACCGGTACACATGCCAGTACGGTATTGACTACTTTGGTATATCACCAATTTTTTTTTAACAATGTGTCAAGGACGAGCTCGAACATAAAGGATCAGGTGCGTGCATTTCACCAATTAAGAATGGAATAGATTAAAAAAAAAATAGAGATTTTTATTTTGATTAAATCTCAATTTTAGTCTTAAAATTTTAAATTATATTTGCCTCTAAATTATTTTAAATATTTTTTTTCAACTCTGCAAATTATATATTTTTCCCTTCTTTCCTCATTTAAAAGTTTTTCTTTTTTTTTTGAACTTGGGTAATGTATTATTAATTTAAGGTTTATGTACATCCCTACATAGCAGATTACGTAGGATATTTGGGAGGACAATGTGCCCAATACGAGGGGCATTGTCCACTAAGTGATGTGCAGGCGACCCAGTCAGCTACCTGGTTGCATAAGCGTGGAACAAAATTGAACTTGAAGCCAGGATTACTGATACAAGATTGTCTTATACTTATTATCAAGGATTGGGCCTCCCATGGTAGAGGCTTTGAAGATTGCTGGATAGAGGAGATTAACACCTGATTATCAGATTCGAAGATGATATCTTGAAAGCCTTTATCCTCAGCAAACCGGACGGCTTTAAGGAGAGCAGCTACTTCTACTGAAAGTGGGGTTGATGCCGAGTAACACCACGTCCTTCCGAAAGAGATTTCGCCATTCGAGTTACATTCAACCATGGCCAGAGCTGCTACCTCCGAATTTGGTGAGAATGAGGCATCAACATTAACCTTGATAATGCCACATGGAGGCCTAGACCAAGAAGATTTACACTGTTGTGCAGGTGGTTGGGACCTGGATGGGGATTCCAATAAGTCCTGGTGGTCCAGAGATAATTCCTGAAGCATGTGAGAAATACGAGTAAGAACCTGGCTAGGAGAAATTTCAGCCTGTTCAAAATATTTCTCATTTTTGGCTTTCCATATATTCCAGCAAACAACAGCACAGTAATCCGGTAAGGAAGGAAAGTGCATTTGTCTAGCTACCCGCTTGATATACCTTCACCATTCCACAGGATTACCCACCCCCAGCTGCCGTGGGTCAAGACCCAAGGCTGAACCAAACCAAATTGGTTCCACATAAGGGCAATAAAAGAGCAAATGCATTATGGATTCATCAGTTAAATGACAGAAGGGACATAACGCCTCTTGTGCAATTCCCCTCCACAGCAAATTATCCATTGAAGGCAAAGAGTTAAGAAGAGCTCTCCATAAGAAAACTCGAACCTTAGGAGGCACTTGCATTTTCTATATGTGTTTCCATTCAGCAGATGAAAGGATCAAATTGTCATGATTCCTATCAATTTCATTAGCAACATGAAGCGCAAGGAGATAGGCACTTTTAACAGAAAAATTTCCATATCTATCATAATGCCAAATAAAGGAATCAGAGCATATTCCAATAGGAATTTTTTGGATTTCCCGACACTCCTCACTGTTGAAACATGTATTAAGCTTGGTAATATCCCACTCCCCCTCATGACCAAGCAGTTCACAAACATGAGAAAGTAATGAGTTAGTGACTAGGAGGGAGGTTACCTTAAAACCAGGAAGGGTGGGCACCCATTTATCTTGATAGATCAAAATGTCTTGGCCATTTCCAACATTCCATCTTGCTCCGAGTTAGACAAGGTCCCTTCCTTGCAAAATACTCAATCACGCCCATAACAGATGACTACCTTTCCTAGCATCAAAAAAGGAAGAGCCTGGAAAGTATATGCTTTTAAGCACACGGGCCCATAAGGCATTGGGGCTCTGTAGCATCCTTCAAGCTTGACGGGCTACAATGGCCAAATTAAAGTAATAGAGGTCTTTAAAGCCCATACCTCCAACATGTTTGCTTTGAGTGAGCCGATCCCAACCAACCCAACATACTTTCCTCTCATTCATTTGCTGTCCCCACCAAAAATCCTTAATAAGTCGATTGATTTCTCTGCAGACACCCATGGGAAACAAAAAGCAGGACATTGTGAAGGTAGGAATGGCCATAGCAACTGCTTTAATTAAGACCTCTCGGCTCGCTTGGGATAGCAAGTTTTTTTTCCAATGAGCAAGTTTCTTTTGAATTTTGACAACCACGAATTTGAGGTTATCTTTTTTAGACCTTCCCCAAGAGGTTGGTAATCCAAGGTATTTGGAGATAGCAAATTCAAGTCGAATTCCCAGGTGCTCACAAATGGATTCCCGGACTTCCTTAGGGATATTGGGACTAAAAACTGCAGCAGACTTGGAGTAGTTAACCCTCTGTCCAGTAATATCATCGTAGAGTTGCAAGATAGTTTGTAAGTGATTCACTTCCTCTGCTGTGGCTCGACAGAACACCAAGGAGTCATCGGCAAAAAGGAGGTGACTGATTGTAGGGCTCCTCATTCGAATCTTGTAACCAGAGATCTTTTTTTCTATTGTTGCTACCATCAATAGACGAGATAAAAGATCAGCAATAAAGAGATAGAGGTACGAGGATAGCGGGTCTCCTTGCCGGAGTCCTTTTTGGGGAACAAAATTAGGGGTTTGATTGCCATTAATTCCGACTGTGTATGATACCGTCGAGACACATGGCATTACCATATGGATCCATTGCTCACAAAAGCCATAAGCCCTCAAAATATGTTCCAAACTGTGCCAATCCACACTATCGTATGCCTTCCGAATATCTAATTTCAAAGCCAAAACACAATGCTTACCAGATTTCTTAAGCTGTAGACCATGGAAGGCTTCATGTGCAATCAAAATATTATCTTGAATAGCTCTGCTAAGAATAAAAGCAGACTGAAATGGAGATATTAGGCTATCAAGATAACCTTTCATGTGATTAGCTAGTATTTTAGCAATAATTTTATAAGAAAAGTTACAAAGAGAGATGGGCCGAAAATGTGAAATCACCTCAGGGGCCTTGATTTTCAAAATGAGGACAATTTTAGTTCTATTCATTTCTCGGAGCATAAAACCATGTTCAAAGAAGTGTCGAATAGCCTTGCATACATCTGGTCCTACAAGGTCCCAATGTTGTTGATAGAAGCACCCTGGGAAACCATCCACTCCAGGCACCCTGAAAACACCTAATTGGAACACCGCAGAACGAATTTCATCATCCGAGACAGAACGACACAATTCATGATTCATTTCTGCCATAACAGACGGGTGGATAAGCCTTGAAATCTGCTCAAGATTACAAGTGTTCGAGGAAGCATAAGCTTGTTGGAATTGGGAATAAGTATGGGAGATTATTGATTTAGTGTCTTTCAGCCATTGCCCATGTTCATTCTTAAGCTGAAAGATGTAGTTGTTCTGCTTCCTTTTAGATGCAATCACATGGAAAAATTTTGAATTCCTATCACCAACACTACAAACAAAATGACTTATACTAACGGAACTCTATACCAACGGATGGAAGTCCGTCTGTATAGACCCATATATACCAACGGAAAACTTAAGCAGTCACTATACATCAATCTATACCAACGGAAAAATATATCCGTTTGTATAGGGTTGGTTTATACAAACAGTTTATATTTATCCGTTTGTATAGAGTATATCTATTCTAATGATAATCATTATCAGTTTGTATAAATGTATCTGTACAGACGGATTACTGTTCCGTCTGTATATTTCCCTATTTCTTAAACACTTTATTTTCTTAAACACTTTATTTTCTTTGCCGCTGGCTTCATTTTTACTTCCCTCCATGGATTTCCCATTTTCCCTCTTTAATTTCCGAGCTTCCTTCCCCAAATCTCCAAAATTCATTCGAACCCATTCAAACTCAGAAACCCAAATTTTAATTAGACGTTTGGCCGTTCGAAAGGCCACTATAAGAAGACTCAAAGCTCTTGTTTGATCCCGCTCCCTGTACTTTCCTTTACCCACAGAAAAAAGCCATGGTCGGAGGTCAATTTTGGCTTGTGCGACCCGACGATGGAGGTCAAAGAAGGCAAATTGGAGGGTTGTGAGGGTAGGATCAGACATAGGTTTAAGGCATCCTCTTACCCCCTATAAATAGGTTGTTAACAGTGAGCAAAGGGGGATTTCGAAAGGAAGCTGACAGAGAGAGGAGAAAAAGGTTCAGGGTGATGAGGCTCTGCAAGCCGTTGTTCCACGTGGAGCCTCCGCTGCAACTGGATCCGATCAACCTCCTCGTTGGCGAAGACATCTTCGACGATCCACTCGCTGTCTGTCACCTCCCTCCACTTATCTCTAGACACGTTGCCAATCCCATCG